TGTCCCAGGGAAGGAGGAAAATGCTCCAAGGTGTTTGTTGGTGCTGGAGAAGATAAAATCCATCTCCTATGAAGCCAGGCTGGGAGAGCCAGGGGTGTTCAGCCTGGAGAAGGGAAGGATCTAGGGAGAGCTTGGAGCCCCTTCCAGAGGCTAAAGGGGCTCCAGGAGAGCTGGAGAGGGACTTGGGACAAGGGCTGGAGGGACAGGACACAGGGAATGACTTCCCACTGCCAGAGGGCAGGGAGAGATGGGAGATTGGGAAGGAATTGTTGGCTATGAGGGTGGTAAGGGTCTGGACTGGAATTCCCAGAGAAGCTGTGACTCCCCCTGGATCCCTGGGAGTGTCCAAGGCCAGGTTGGAGCAACGTGGGATAGTGGGAGGTGTCCCTTTGCCCATGGCAGAGGTTGGAACAGGGTGAGCTTTATGGTCCCTTCCCACCCAAACCATTCCAGGATTTGATGATTCCATGGAACTGGGATGGCTCCAGTCTGGATTTCCCAGTTTCTCAGCAGACAAATCCTGTGGGATATGACTCCAAGGAATTAAAGCGAAAAAACTGAGCTCCAGGGAGACCTTGGAGCCCCTTCCAGAACCTGAAGAGGCTCCAGGAGAGCTGGAGAGGGGACTGGCGACAAGGGCTGGAGGGACAGGACACAGGGAATGGCTTCCCACTGCCAGAGGGCAGGGAGAGATGGGAGATTGGGAAGGAATTGCTGGCTGTGAGGGTATTGAGGATCTGGTCTGGAATTCCCAGAGAAGCTGTGGCTGCCTCTGGATCCCTGGAGTTGTCCAAGGCCAGGTTGGACGGGGCTTGGAGCAACCTGGGATAGTGGGAAGTGTCCCTGCCCATGGCAGTGGGTGGGATGAGATGATCTTTAAGTCCCTTCCCACCCAACCCAGTCTGGGATTCCATGATTATGGATGGAGTTTCCATCTTGGGTTCATGGAATTTCTCTAGCTTTTCTCTGTTTTCCTCTCTTTGTCTTCAGTCAGAAATAATTCTGCTTTTCTTGGTCTGCAGTAAAGTTGTTTTAACCTCTTGTGTTTGAGTATCCTGGAATCCCAGAATGGTTTAGGTTGGAAAGGGCCTTAAGGCTCGTCCTGTTCCATGGGCAGGGACACCTTCCACTATCCCAGGTTGTTCCAAACCTTATCCAACCTGGCCTTGGACACTCCCAGGGATCCATGGGCAGCCACAGCTCCCACTGTCCCAGGTCCCTCATCCCAAAACCACTCCTCTCAGAGCTTGAGGAATTCGCTTTCCAACCTGCCAGCCCACTTGGATAAAGACTATTCCCTCCTCCCATCCTCCTTGGCATGCCATTCCTGTGGGATACGTGGCCCGATTCCTGTTGTTTTTAAAGATGAAGCTCGGGAAAATCCATCACGTCCGTTATTCCAACGAACTCCCTTAGAGGATTTGGAGGAATGAAGTGTGAGGTGGATAAAACTCTGGGTGTTTTTTTAAACAGGGGGATGTTTGACGTGACAAAAGAGCCCAGGGCAACGTGTTCCCCATTCCATTGATTTTCCAAACAGATCCCAGCAGCAAAGGGTTGTCGTTGACCCCTAACGGGGTCGGTTGGTTCTGCCCCGGGGCCTGACGTTCCATCCTCCTGCTCCAACAGCCCTTCCTCGGGGCTGGAGAGGGGGAATGAGGGATAAATCCGTGTTCCACGTCAGACTGTGTCTGGAGGGGGAAAACGCAGAGCTTTTCCTAGGGATGGGGGCAGGATTCTATTCTGGGAAGCAGCGAAATATCCAGAAAACGTTCCGGAGCCGAGCGGCGGCGGCGGCGCGAGCTGCTCGTGTGATTCAGCGGCCAAATTGCCTCGGAGTGTATAAATAGGGGAAAATTGGATGGGAATAGGCAGATGACATTCCAGCTGGATGCAGGTACGAGGCTCTGTGGCTGTTTTTGGTAGCAAAAGGCGACAGAAATTGGAGATGGTGCTAAGAAAAGGTGTGGGAGTGATGTAAGCACGGGAATAGGGGAACGTGGAGATGACAGGGTTTGGAACAAGGTGAGCTTTAAGGTCCCTTCCAACCCAAACCATTCTGGGATTTTCTGGTGTTCTGGGATAAAGGATACGCAGGTTAGAATCCATTTAGAGGGATTTTTGTGGAAATCAGGGATGGAAAAGGCAGGAAAGGGAAAGAGGGACCCTTCCCTGAGTCCCAAGATTCCCAGGGAACCCCCTTGTTCCCTGAACTCCTTCCCAGGGAGGAGTTGGGCTGGGGATGGATCCAATGTCAGGTTCTGGATCCAGGCTGGGAGAGCTGGGGGGGTTCAGCTGGAGAAGGATCCAGGGAGAGCTTGGAGCCCCTTCCAGAACCTAAAGGGGTTCCAGGAGAGCTGGAGAGGGACTGGGGACAAGGGCTGGAGGGACAGGACACAGGGAATGACTTCCCACTGCCAGAGGGCAGGGAGAGATGGGAGATTGGGAAGGAATTGTTGGCTGGAAGGGCATTGAGAGTCTGATCTGGAATTCCCAGAGAAACTGTGGCTGCCCCTGGATCCTTGGAATTGTCCAAAGCCAGGTCAGACGGGTCTTGGAGCAACCTGGGATCGTGGGAGGTGTCGAGGTTGGAACTGGATGATCTTTAAGTCCCTTCCCACCCAAACCATGCCAGGATTCCATTATTCAAACACTTCCTGCACCGAAGTGTTCCCTCTGGGAAGGGCAGTTTTCCTTTCCTTTGTCTCTGCTGACTCTTTCCACAGAGATCTTGCCAGTTTGATTAAAGTCCCATAAATCCACTTGTGTCCTGATGTAAATCCAATATTTAGGACATAACTTTTCATCCTGTATTTCCTGCCCTCTCCAGGTCTCTGAATTCCCTTTGATATCGGGCAGGGGAGGTGGTGCTGCTTGGGCACTGGAAAAAACGTGGGAATTCGCTGTAAAATGGGTTTCCTTACAAATTTAGGATTCCATCCCGTTGTGTAACGAATCTTTGTGCTGAGTAACAACCATCAATTCCCCTTTGACAAGCCCTGCTCGGGAACTCCTTCCGGAAAACGGCAGCTTATGGAAACCTGGAGAAGCTTTTCCTTGGTGGCCGTTCCCAACATTTCCAGATTTGGCCTCTGAACTCCTCAAATATCTTCCCTGGAGTGTTTGGTTTTAAAGGAAATGGAATTTCCCCCTTTTGCAAATCGGAGAAATGAGTGTTTAAAGCTTGGAATTGGAGCAAAGGCAGCAGGAAAGTCCATTTTCTCCTCCATTTTTCAGGTAGTGCCGGAGTTGTGTTGCCAGAATCCCCTTCCCTGGAAGGTTTACTGTCACACACATCCATCTTTTTTCTTGGAAATGTTGCTTTATCTGCTTGGACTTGGCCTTTATTTTGCTTTTCTAGATCTTTTTAAGCCACATTTCTCTTTCCAGGAGAGGACTGATGGATTTAATTTATAATTTTACCATTAAAAATCCCATTGGTGCCCTTGGGAGTCGTTGCATTTTAGGGTCTGTTGGTGCCCATTAAATCCAGCATTTTATATCCTGGCCATAAATTTACTTGGGGAGGGGGGAGGTGTGTGATATTATTATTTTTGTCAGTATTCCCCCCCTGATTGGAGGTGTTAATATGAACATAATATTATTATTACCCCTTTTCTACAAGGGGTGAGTTCTCTGCTGCCTTTTTTCCCCCCCTCCAAGCCAAAGTTTCTCCGGAATTCTTGCAAATCACGTCTTCCAAAGTGGGTGTTTTGGAGCCTGTTAATGAATCACACTTTGGCAGTGTTTGCCCTGACGTGATAAACAATTGTTCTCTTGGCCTGTCAGATTATTGAGCCACAAACTTGGAGACGTTTTACGTGGTTTTTGTTGTTTTCTTCTTTTTAAGATGCTTTTTTTTTGTTGTTGTTGACAGCCTGTCCCCCAAATACCTCGGTCTTTTTGTAGACTTTAACAGTCTGAAGTGAGTTAATATTATTTTTTAGTGAGTCTGAGCCCACTTGGGTTTTTTTGCTGGTTTTTTTTAGGGCTTTTTGGTTGGGTTTTTTTTGGTGCAGTTCTGCTCCATCGCGTCCTAAGGTAGGTAGTGGAGCTTTATTTCACCTCAGAAGTTTCCAGCCATCCAGAGCTGCAAATGGGATGATGAATCTTTAGAGGCACCTAATAAAGAGCTGAACTTAGTCATCCTTGTGATTTTGGTGTGCAATATCCTGTCAGGGATGGGCAGAACATCCCTCTCTCACTCAAGGTGTCCTCTTTTCAGCAACATTTAATATTCATTCCCAGATCATCATTTGGGACCATTAACGAGACTGATATTCCTCTCAGACTGGGGCTGTTAATCCTGCCTTGGGACTTATCCAGATTACCTCTGCAGCTTCCAAAGGAGAAGTTCCCTTTTCCTGCTGGAAATCTTCCCTCCTGTGCTGCAGTCCTGTTACACAACCACCTTCTCCCGCAGGAAAGGTGCTCGAGGGCAGTGATTCCGGTGTGGAATCCTTCCTGGAGCTTACATGGATCGATGGTTTCCTTTGGTTCAAAGGCTGCTTTGGGTTCCTTTTTCCCTTTATTTCACTCTCTCCCAGGTCACCCACTCACCATTTGTCATCAGGAGGGGAGGTTTTCTCCTACCTGGAGTAATTAGTCTTTGTTAGAGCTCCGGTGATAAATAGCAGAGGAGGAGGAAAAAGGGAAACAATGAGTTTTGTTTCGGCGTCAGACTCTTCCAGTGAAGCTGGGAACGCGCCGCTCGCTCCCAAAGGGAAGGGATTTGTGGGATTTTTCATGGCAAACCTTGTCCATCTTGTGTCAATCCTCCAGGCTGCCACAGTCCAGTTCTTTGTCACACAAAACAAGCCCCCAGACTTTTATTAATGTGTTTCTGAATCATTTCAACCCAGGCGTTGCCGTGAGGGTAAAGGTAACTCTAACCTGGGAATGACGTAGAAACTCTCCCCTGGGAGATGCTGGAAACCCTTCTGAAGTTCCCTGTGAAAGCTTCCCGGTTTGAAGAGAGGATTGGTTTGGATTTTTTCTAGGTATTCTGAGCACAGCCTGACCAAGTGTGTGGGGATAACGATCGAGACGAGGCCGGATTACTGCCTGAAGAGGCACCTCAGCGACATGTTGTCCTACGGCTGCACGAGGCTGGAGATCGGGGTGCAGAGCGTCTACGAGGACGTGGCCCGGGACACCAACAGGTGAGGGCAGAGGGACACGGAATCCTGGAATGCTTTGGCTGGGAAGGGACCTAAAGCTCGTCCAGTTCCAACCCCGACACCTCGCGCTATCCCAGGTTGCTCCAAAACATGTCCAACCCGGCCTTGGACACTCCCAGGGATCCAGGGGCAGCCACAGCTTCTCTGGGAATTCCAGACCAGCCCCTCAACACCCTCCCAGACAAGAATTCCTTCCCAGTATCCCACTCAAATCTCCCCTTTTCCAGTGGGAAACCATTCCCTGTGTCCTGTCCCTCCAGCCCTTGTCCCCAGTCCCTCTCCAGCTCTCCTGGAGCCCCTTTAGGCTCTGGAAGGGGCTCCAAGCTCTCCCTCCATCCTTCCCTTCTCCAACCTGGTCATTCCCAGCTCTCCCAACCTGGATCCAGAGCCTGACATTGGATCCATCCACAGCCCAACTCCTCCCTGGGAAGGAGTTCTGTGAACAAGGGGCTTCCCTGGTAATCTCGGCACTCAGGGAAGGATCTCCCTTCCCCTTTCCTGCCTTTTCCATCCCCACATTCCATAAAAATCCCTCTAAATGGATTCTAACCTGAGCGTCCTTTATCCCAGAATCCCAGAATGGTTTGGGTTGGAAGGGACCTTAAAGCTCATCCTGTTCCATGGGCGGGGACACCTCCCACTGTCCCAGGTTGCTCCAACCTGGCCTTGGACACTCCCAGGGATCCAGGGGCAGCCACAACTTCTCTGGGAATTCTATTCCACCCTCCCAGCCAAGAATTCCTTCCCAATCTCCCATCTCTCCCTACCCTCTGGCAGTGGGAAGCCATTCCCTGGGTCCTGTCCCTCCAGCCCTTGTTCCCTGTCCCTCTCCAGCTCTCCTGGAGCCTCTTTAGGCTCTGGAATGTACTCCAAGCTGTCCCTGGATCCTTCCCTTCTCCAGGCTGAAACCTTCAAAGCTTCCAGCCTCCAGTGGCTGCTCACTGGGCCCTTCACGAACACTCTTGGGAATTCTCTGTTTCCTTGACTAATCCCCACTTAACAGAGAATCTTGAAACATTTCCCTCATTTTCTTGCTTTTGTGTCCTCGTTTCCGTCAAGAAAAATTATTAACCTGCATTTTAATGGCTTTCTTTGGGATATTGTTTACACCAGGGTTTGAGAAAATGGGACTGTGATGCTTTATTTTCAAATATATTTGCAGGAGGCCTTTGATTTATTCCTCAGCATCTTGGACCCGTGACCAAAAGAAGTGTTTTCCTACATGGGAAAGCGTGGAATATTTTGTTCATCCCACCCCTGACAGGCAAACAAACCAATCTCTCCTCTCTTTGTTTATTTATTTATTGCAAGGCTGATAATTCTGCTGAGATTTTAAAATGAGTGATTTTTCACTTGTTTTTTGTGGTTTTTTCACTTCATTCAACTCGTTCCCTCTTATCCCGTATTCCAGTCACTCCCAAAGTTGTTTAATAACCACAGTCTCAGGTGGTGACAGATTCAGGCAAAGCACATTTTTGGTGATACCCACCTTAAAGGCAGCAGAACAAAGCTGGAAATGTTGGGCATTTTCTTTCTCCTTTTCCTTTTAGGGCCTCCAAGGAAGAATCCCAAATGGATTTTCTTCTTTGGCACTGCCAGAGCGTGGGAATGTGGGATGGCACTGCCAGGAAACCATCAGGCTCCAGGTCCCAAAAATGCAAGAAAAGCCATTTATTGAGGAGCCCAAGAGCTCATTTCAGAGGTGGTTTCCTCCTCTGGATGTCAGAGTTTTCCAGAGGAAAGGATCCATCCTAAGGAATGTTCTTAGTCTGGGGCCTTCAGTCGTAGATTCATTCAACTCAATTAATTCATTTATCAATTAATTTCCCTTTTTTTTCCACTCGAATCTTTCAAAGGTGGAGCTTTAAAACCTCTCTTTGCTCCCACTTGAGTTTTCCACCAGTTTTTTTGTGTCACATCGGAGCAGGTCCCACAAATCAACCCGAAGCTCTTCCCTCACTTTTGGCTTTTGGTCCCTTTTCCCCAAGGAAACCCTTTGCTTTCCAGTTGCTGGCTCAGAACGGGAATAAAGGGATGTGTTCCTGCCTTGATTTCCCTCAGAGCCAATCCTGGATGGAATTATATTTTATATTATAATTATATTTATATTATATATCGTGTATAAAATATACACTGTGTATTATATAACATACAATTATACAATATATATATATACAATTATATATATAAGTGTGTATATATATAATATATATGCATATATATGTGTGTATTTATATGTATATATATGTATATAGAATATATATGTATATAGAATATATATACACAATTATACAATTATACTATATATAATTATACATATAAATGTATATATATAATATATATGTATATATGTGTGTATATATATTATATATATGTATAATATATATACACAATTATACAATTAAACAGTATATAATATATGATTATCATCATAATGATAATTTATATTAGAATCATATTTTATATTAGAATTATATTTTTATCTTCAAATTCTATTTTATATTGTAATTATAAATATGTTACATATGATATAGAATACATAATTATATATTATATGTTATCTTAGAATTCTGTATTATCTTAGAATTCCATTTTACATGAGAATTCTGCTCCATTTTTCAAAAGCCTCCCGCAGAAGTCCTCGAAGGGCTTTGCTGCAAATGCTCCCTCCAACTTTTCAGGGCGATGAAAATCGAAACACGCTTGGAGAATAAAAAAAAAAAAAAAAAAAAAAGGGTGATTCGAGTTCCTCTTCCTTTTGAAATGACCTCATTTTGCTTCTGCTCCTCTTTGTGTGTGGGAGCGACGTGTTGTTTCTGGTTTTGTTTTTTTTTTGGGCTTTCAACTTTTTAATATTTCGCTCGTAGCAAAATGTCAGATTACAACCAATTAGGCAAACTGTTGGGGAAATTACTTTCTATTCTGTTCCAGAAGTCATTAGCGAGGTGGTGTTGGGTTGTTTTTTTTTTTTTTTTGGTTGTTTTTTGAGTGCTTTCGGCGGCTGCGAGGCAGAAAAATATTCGAGAACTGATCTTAGGCATCAAATAATCGAGTTATTGATGCAGCTCGAATTCCACTTCTAATAAGAAAATAATTTTTATTTATGAAGCGAGTCTCCATTTCCTCCCCTCGGGCTACTCAAGGGCCTGAGTAATGTTGTCCTTGAACAGCCTTGGAAAAACACGGTGACACTTGTGAAAAAAAAAAAAAAAAACAAAACAAAACACCAAACTAAAAAAAATCATAAATAAAACTGTAGGGAAAAAAAGCTGCATTGAGGGAGTGAGTGGAGGTGGAACCTTCTGGAAGAGAGGAAGGAATTGAGCCTTGAAACCAGGGAAGCAACTGCTGGTTTGGTTAAAATAAGGGCTGGGTGCCCATTCTGGGTCAGAATTAAGTGTAAATGAACAGATTTAGGACTGAGGTGCCCAGATGGGGGTAATTTTTCACCCCAAAGGGCCGTGGAGGAGGAGAAGAGTCACGTCCTTGGAGCAGGGAATTCCAGAAGGTGGGGTGAGAGTGTGATGGGGAGCAAACAGGGTTTGGAGAGGGAAGGTCAGGGGTTGCTGAGGGGGTCGAAATGTCCGGAGATGTCCCGAAATCTCAACCAGGGGTGGGAAGAACCAAAGCCAGGACTTTGTGGGAAGACTGGTCACTGGGGTGGGAATTCCCCCATGGCTGTTTGTGGAGGCTCTGGAGCTGTGGAGGTGGAAGGAGAGAGGAATTTGCTCAAGGATAATGAACCTCTGTTCCTCCTGTGGTTTGGGATCCAGGTCTCTCCAAGCTCCTGAATCTGAGCTTGGTTTGATGTCAGAACGTGGAATCCTTGAGGAATCCCAATTCAGCCCATGTTTCGGAGCTGAGAAAGTTGGTCTTTCTCTAACAGGAGTGTTTGGGAGCATGTTTTGGGATGGTTTTCCAGCTGCCTAGTTTTCCTGTTGTTTATGTCTTCTCCTTTCCTGTTGTTTTTGTCTTTGGTTGTTCCTCATCCTGATTATCCGCAGCCGCCACTGCACCGTGTCCTCCTTGTGCTGTGGCACCAACTGGTGTCTTGGCTTTCCCAATTGGATTTCAGCAGCTCTCCCAAGTTTCTCCAGCTGGGATTTGAGCAGTTGGAGCCTTGGAGTGGCTCGGCAGCAGTAAACTTTTAATACTTTATTAAAAACACCTTTTTTTTCCCTTATGGAGTTCACTTCCAGCCACGTTCCAGACTCAACCCGCTCTCGCTTCCCGGAGTTAAATCTCAATTAAACATCTCCAATGTGGCTCTTCCTGCCTGATCCTGGATCTCTTCCCTCTCTTCCCAGAGGCCACACGGTGAAGGCTGTGTGTGAATCCTTCCACCTGGCCAAGGATGCTGGATTTAAGGTGGTGGCCCACATGATGCCTGACCTCCCAAACATGGGCCTGGAGAGGGACATGGACCAGTTCGTTGTGAGTATGCCTTAAAATACCCGGGAATTTCTCGTGTTTTCCAGCTTTTTCATCCAACTCTTTTCGTCCTTACCTCAGCCATTAGTTCTGATCCAACCCAGGCTTGTTTTTCTTAAGGACAAATAATTGAAAAATCAATTTATTTTATTTATTTTTTTTTTTTGGAAAGGTGGAGGGTGAGAAAAGATTTGTTGAGCTACTTCATCCAGAAAATTATATCCCTGCCTCATGAAAGCCTGAGTCACCAGGGTCCCTGTGGAATATTGCTCTTCCCATATTAACTGGGGCTCTTGCTTTTTTTTTTCGAAGTTTTCTTCCTGGGGTTTAGAATAGTGCACAGTTGCAAGTTGAAAGAAGGCAATTAATTGCAAAATGAAGTGTACAGGTGTGTCATGAAGCATCTCTGTTCTTGGCTGAGTATCTTTGTCAATGGTGTAGAAGAAAACAGAAAATGATTCCTGGAGAAACGGAAATGAGGAATAAAGTATAAACAGTGCAGGGAATTAACCACTCTAGGTGGTAGTTTGGTAGATTTTCATTATTTCTTGTATTTTTTTTTAAGTCAAAATCGGTTGTGTTTTTAAAATAATGCAGAAACTGGGACGTTTCCTAAGGAGTTTTATGCAGAATTCCTGAGCACAATGTCTTAGTACTTTTAACAAATATTGTATTTGTGTGTCTGAATAAGGGAGTGGGGCAAAGGGATGTGCACAAACCCAGAGGTGCAGCCAGAACTCAAAATTCCCCCTCCAGGCTCTCCTCCTGGGTTATTTTCCTACCCTGCTGTAGATAAGTAGAGTGTGGACACGACGTAGGATTTTCCAGGAATTACTCGTGGTGCGGAACCTGAGTCCCTCCCCGATGCCTCCTGAAGTTCCAGCTGGTTTTATGTGGGTTTTATGTGTTTTTACGGGTCTGTCACGAGCCAAGGGGAGACAATTTGTGGCGTTAAATGAGCAATAATGACAAAAAGATTTAAAGAGCCAGCAAGGAGGAGCTGGTGAGCCGAGGTGTTTGCAAGATGTCAGAGTGGAGAGGGAGGGATTATTTAGGGCAGGATTGCAAGCTCCTGTAGGAAGTATTTAGTGCTTGTTGTTCTTTGCTGCTTGTTCATGATGGGCGGTTAAAGATTTCCCACCGTGGGATCTGGAATTGCTCCTGTTTCGCTGCAGATTTGGGAATAGGTTTGGAGGGTTTAAGTTCAAGTGATGGCATCACTGAAGGTTGTTGTGTCCCTTTCTAAAGGGCAGCTTTTTGCAGGAATTTTGCAGGGGGCAAAGTTTGCGGGAGGGAGGCAAAAACGTGGCGAGGAGGCTGGAACTGGGAGAGGGGGAACGAAAAGGAAGCCGGGCATGGAAAAGCAGGAGAAGGAGAAAACAGAGCAGAGAAGGGCAAGTGGTTTGTGCTGTTTCTGCCCAGGGAAGTCCCTTGGCTTTGGGAGCTGGGAAAAGTCCTCGTGGAAAGACTTTTGTGGAATGAGGTGAGTTTTAAGGTCTCTCCCAACCCAAACCATCCTGGTGAAAACCAGTGTGGATGGCAGGACTCTGGACGTGGAAGGAAGGAATCCACATGGGATGGGAAAGGATGGGAAGAGAGAGAGTAGGTGAGAACAAGGCCTGGAGAGAATTAAGATATTTATAAATTTATGAGAGGAAGGGTTAAGATAAGATGGGAATTTTTTGCTGGGGGGGCAGAGTTGGCAAAAAGAAGCTGGTTGGAGGGTCAGGGAAGAGAAATGGGGAGCAGAGAAATCCAGGTGGGAATTAAGGAGGGGAGTTCAGGAGGGCAGACAGTGATGGGGGTAAAGACCAACTCTTTGGGAATTTAAAGCAGGACTCATGGATCAAATGAAGGTTTGGTGCCAGTGAAGCTCCAGAGGAGGAGCTGGAGGATGAGGAATCCATGTGGAGGATGAAGCCCTCAAGTGATGAGAGGGGGAAAAGTGGGAGCTGGGGAGGGAAATTGGAGGGGAAGAGGTGATGGATCACATCAGCATGGAGAGGAGTTGTACCTGTGGTGATCAGAGAGGAGAAAGGGTGGGAAAGGAGAGGAGCAATCCCTGATTCCCGTCTTAGAGGTTCACAGGGTTCTTGCTGTGATCCCTGTGCATCCCAGGGAATGGAGCTGCAGGGGATGAGAACGGAGAGGCTGTGGATCGCTGGGACACGTTTCAAGATTGGAATGATAAACAAGAGACTTCTTTTTACCCCCTCCTTTGCTTTCTCATCCTTTTTTAAATGTGTTATAATTTAATTTCTAAGCATCCTTTGTCCTAAATATGAGAGAAAAGGGGTAAAACCAACTCCTTTCTTTCATTAATCTTTTTTTTCTGGTGCACATAGCAGGTGTTCAGCTGGCTAATTCCTTCATTCCCAGGGATCCAGCTGATCTGAATCCCAGTACATTCTCTGTTTCCTACCTTAAAATTTTATATCATCCTTTTGGGTTATTAGAACAACTTATTTCTGTGTTGTGCTGCATAAATATTAGTCCAGGCTGGTAAATATTTAGACACTTCTACTGCATAAAACTAATGGGGCAGTGAAGAGAGGAACTCAGTGGAGGCACAAAGCTGCTCCTTGTGCAGGGTTCTCCGAAAATGTGGCATCTTCTCACAGTCATGGAATGGGTTGGGTGGGAAGGGACCTTAAAGCTCATCCAGTTCCAACCCCGACACCTTCCACCGTCCCAGGTTTCTTCAAGGGAATCCAGCCTGGCCTTGGACACTCCCAGGGATCCAGGGGCAGCCACAGCTTCTCTGGGAATTCCAGCTCAGCCCCTCAACACCCTCCTAGACAGGAATCCCTTCCCAATATCCAACCTGAACCTACTCTGTTTCAACTGAAAGCTGTCAGTGGGGGGTGGTGGCACCCACGGTGATCTGAGATCCCAAATTAGTGGGGAAGATGCTGTGGGAGCATCAACCCCTTTCTGTTCCTGATGCACTGAGGGGAGGGAAGTGGAAGCGAGGGAAGAGCAGGAATCTGGTGTTAGAGAATCCTGGAGCCCCAGAATGGGTTAGGTGGGAAGGGACCTCAAAGCTCATCCCATTCCAACCTTGACACCTTCCACCATCCCAGGTTGCTCCAAGGGAATCCAACCAGGCCTTGGACACTCCCAGGGATCCAGGGGAAGCCACAGCTTCTCTGGGAATTCCAGCCCAGCCCCTCCTCACCCTCCCAACCAGGAATCCCTTCCCAATATCTCACCTCTCCCTGCCCTCTGGCAGTGGGAATCCATTCCCTGTATCCTGTCCCTTCATCCCTTGTCCCCAGTCCCTCTCCAGCTCTCGTGGAACCCCTTTAGACTCTGGAATGTGCTCCAAGCTCTCCCGGGATCCTTCCCTTCTCCAGGCTGGACATTCTCAGCTCTCTCAGCCTGGATCCAGAGCCTGCCATTAGATCCATCCACAGCCCAACTCCTCTCTGGGAAGGAGTTCAGGGAACAAGGGGGTTCCCTGGGAATGTCGGGACTCAGGGAAAGGTCCCATTCCCCTTTCCTGCCTTTTCCATCCCCACTTCCATAAAAATCCCTCTGAATGGATTCTGAGTGTCCTTTATCCTGGAATTCCAGACTGGTTTGGGTGGGAAGGGACCTTAAAGCTCATCCCGTTCCATGGGCAGGGACACCTCCCGCTATCCCAGGTTGCTCCAACCTGGCCTTGGACACTCCCAGGGATCCAGGGGCAGCCACAACTTCTCTGGGAATTCTATTCCACCCTCCCAGCCAGGAATCCCTTCCCAATCTCCCATCTCTCCCTGCCCTCTGGCAGTGGGAAGCCATTCCCTGGGTCCTGTCCCTCCAGCCCTTGTCCCCAGTCCCTCTCCAGCTCTCCTGGAGCCCCTTTAGTCTCTGGAATGTGCTCCAAGGTCTCCCTGGATCCTTCTCTTCTCCAGGTGAACACCCCCAGCTCTCCCAGCCTGTCTGAAAATAGCATTGACTTTTGGGGACGAAAGACACCTTTGGCTTATCATGAATCTTTACAGATGTTTGATTTTTTAGTTTTAAATACGTTAGGGGAAAAAAAATCCCTTTATTTGTTGTGCCAGTCTCCTTCCCAGCCACCTGCTTTTCAGACCAGGGACAGAAGGAACCAAGTTGACTTTAGGAAGAGCTTTAAGCACCTTTGCCTTCATCACCAGTTGATATATGAATTCCAGAGGCTTCTCCTGGGAAGGCAATAACTTGCTGATTGTGCTGACCAGGGACTAAAAATCCTGGGCGCTTCTTCAACTTGAACAGGTAATTACAGTTCCAGGAGCAACATTGCCTCTGTCCCTTCTGACCTATTGATTTCCAAGTGTCTCCTGCTCCTTCCATCCAGCAGCAAAGGTGCCTAGCACTTCTTCTTCTTCTGCAAACGTGTCAGAGCTCTGAGTGTGGGGTCAGCAACTGCTCTTCTGGTGATTTTATTAGTAATTCTTCCAAATATTATTTTATTGATAGGAGTGTGTGTTCCCTGTATCTTTTATTATAGGTGTTTATTATTATTATTTTGACCTGCAGAGGTTGTGAATTCCATCCCTGGAAGTGTCCAAGGCCAGGTTGGACAGGGCTTGGAGCAACCTGGGATGGTGGAAGGTGTCCCTGCACATGGCACGGGGTGGAACAAGATGGGCTTTAAGGTCCCCTCCAACCCAAATAATTCTGTAATTCTCTGATTCCATGGTTATTTTACAGTAATCTGGGATGGTGGAAGGTGTCCCTGCCCATGGCAGAGGGTGGAATGGGATGAGCTTTAAGGTCCCTTCCGACCCAAATAATTCTGGGATTCTGTGATTCCATGATTTTTTTACAGCAGGTGGCATGTGAGTGGCTTTTTCCCTGCCTCCATCGTGAAGATTATTCCAGTTGTGTATACAATTATTCCAGTTATATATACAATTGTCCCCCTTATTACACAATTACTCCATTTATATATTCGATTATTACAGAGTGGATGTTCTGTCCCCGTGTCCCAGTTCTGCTGTGCTTTTCCCCCCCACACACATTCCCCCATCCTGCCTGTCCTCCCCACTTCTTATTGATTCTTTTTATAGCCTCAGAGGATTTCCTTTCCACTTCAGGTCTTTCCACCCCGTCCCACATATGGGAAAACACCGCAGGGAGGGAACATGCTCTGCTTCCTCCCTCCTCCCTCCCGGTCGTGCCAGGTAGTGTAAATGTTACACACACACACACACACACACACACAAACCATCAGACCCACTCCCAGGGCCTCCCTTAGCAGGTGGCCGGGGAAAATAATTAGAATAATAGCTGGAATAAATCAAGGACTCAGCGGGAATAATGGAATTGTCGCCAGAGCAGACACCTCATCCTGCGGAACGCCGTAAACGCTCGGCTCCGCCGCTGCACCGGGAGAGACATGAGGTGACTCTGGGGGTAGATGGTTGGGAGGATTCATGAATCACCCTCGCCGGCGGGGCTGCCAAGCAGAACTTTTGGATTGAAGCAGGAACTTTGGGAAGGCTGGAGAATTCCCGCGGCGCCGTTACCGATCCCTCGTTCCGTTTCCGCGGAGCAGCTCGGCGGCAATGGGAGAACCAACAGCTGCTCTGGAATAACTCTTCCTAGTGCTAATGTCCCTAATATTTCTAATACTCCTAATATTCCTCTTTATTCTAGGAAAAACATTCCCAAGTGACGTATTTATTAATGGACACGATGTTGCTGTGTTGGCCCTTGGTTTTGTTTTTAGGGCTTTTTCCTGAGCGTGGTTTAGTGTCGCTCTTCCTCTCGGTCCTCTGGCAGGGATGGCTCCAAGCCCATCTCAAACAGCTTTTAAGACCCCTCGTAGGTTAAATTAATCTAGGAAACATTAAAAAAAAAAAGAGGAAATGAACCAGAAGATTAGGAATTTGGAGTGTGGGAAGTGTCAGGGGCTGGCAGAACCCGGAGGCACACGGGAGCTGGTGGATGTTCCCCAGAAACATCAGATGGACCTTCAGTTGTTGAGAAACTCTTTTAATCCTTGAGGAAATCCATGAGGAGATCCTGTGGCCTCACTGTGTCCATCTGAAGCCTCCCATGAGTATAATTCCGAGGAAAAAAACATAGGCAGGGCCATGGAATGGCACTGGAGACAAAATCTCCGAGCGAGGAGATTTTCAGTCCCGTTCAGCAGAGCCTTTCTTTGTGTTCTTTAAATAAAATGCAATCACTGAATGATTTAGTCTGAAAATTCCTCTTCTTAGTCATGTGTCAAGCTGTTTGGTTTTTTTATCTGAAGGAGTTGCTAAATAAGCAATTTCCCAGAAAAGGACTAATTTTAGTGCAATGCCTGATACATCCGTGCTCCGAGTGTGATTCCACTCCAGCAGTGGGTGAGATGAGTGTCCTTTCTTTTTTCTTTCCAGTGGATCTGACGTTGTTTCCGAACTTCCAACAATTTCAGCTGCAAACAAGGCCTCAGTTTTCCTGAGGGCTCCTGAGGTTTTGGGTTTTTTTAACTGAGGAGATGAAAATCATCATGAAACTAAAATATTGCTCCTCGATCCGGAGCTTTTAATAACTGTAATAAAAGACAGTTAAGCTGCTGATCTGCATTGATTTTTTCCTCCCTTTGGGAAGACAGCTCTGAAATGTTTAGTAGGGGTAAATGATTTTCCTTTCAATAACTGCTAAAGATCTCATTGAAAAGCTGTGATTTGCAGGTAGCCAGTTTTCTCCCTCTGAAAATGTGCCTTTTTTTTTTTTTTTGTTCATTGAAGGAACGGATTAGATGGTATTTAATGCTCATTCCTGCAGTTCCTCTTGGAGCTTCTCTTGGAGTCTGAGCTGGTGCTGAAAAAGCTCTTCACTTCAGAAACAATTGTGGTTTCATGAACTATGACCAAAGCCATGGTAATTTTTATGTTAATGAGGGCAGTGGTGACGAGGAACAGGCTATTTTTGGAAACTATTTTCACAGATAATTGCTCTTATATTTCTGTGGATAAAATACCTCCATAAAGCCCCTCTACCTCTTCACATCTGCACAGGGTTGGATTGTGTGCCCAGAGATTCCCTCCCTCTTCAGACTGGGTGGGAATGACTTTTAGGGTCAAATTTAAATCCAAAGCAGAACCTCTTGGTGTAACAAAGTGGGAGAGCTTGGGGGTGTTCATCTGGTGAAGAGAAGGATCCATGGAGAGCTTGGAGAACATTCCAGAGCCTAAAGGGGCTCCAGGAGAGCTGGAGAGGGACTGGGGACAAGGGCTGGAGGGACAGGACACGGGGAATGGCTTCCCACTGGCAGAGGGCAGCGAGACATGGGAGATTGGAAAGGGATTCCTGGCTGGGAGGGTGGTGAGTATCTGGTCTGGAATTCCCAGAGAAGCTGTGGCTGCCCCTGGATCCCTGGGAGTGTCCAAGACCAGGTTGGAGCAACCTGGGATAGTGGAGGTGTCAGGGTTGGAGCTGGATGACCTTTAAGGTCTCTCCCAACCCAAACCCATCTGGATCCTTTGATAAGGATGTGAGGAATTGCAAAGCTGTGTGGAAATCCTGCATTTATGATGATCTTGAATTGCTGCCTTTGTCTCTGTGAATCAGTATTTTATTTCCTCCAGCTCCCAACCGTTAAAATTGTGATAATCCCAATCCCTGCCTCGAAATACCCTCCCATTCAGGAAAAACCTGCTGCAGTTGAGACCCTTTTTCCACCTGAACTAAAAGGTCATTTGTAGTCTCTCCCTGTCCCAGCAGTGGGTTTTTTTCATAGCAGAAAACAACAGAGGGGTGACTTTTGGGCTGGTTTTTTTTCACTAAGACCCCTTGCTGCTGAAATCGATAACGAACATATGGCTGGGAACACAGAGCCAAAGAGAAAGGAGCCCAGGAATAAAGGGATAAGTCTTGGATAGAGAGTGTGAATTCGCAAGGCATTTGGGCAAAGAGAGTATCATGCAGTAAAATATGTATTTTAGTGCAAATCAAATACTTGTCATCAAACAGTAATGGCCAAATTACATTTTTGAGGACTTAGTTGTTGGCTTCGTGCGAGTTTTTATGGGTTTTTAATTAAAAAAGCCTCTCGGAAAAGCAAAGTGGTTTTGCTGTGAACATAAATGAGGGAAGCTTTGGAGGGGCTGTGTGGGGTGGGAGAGAACTTGTGGTCGTGTCGATGTTCCTTCTGGAAAGGAGAGGTCTGATGAAGGTGGATCAGATGACTAAAGACAGGACAGAGTTGCTGGAGTCGATGTTTTGGGGTTTTTTTAGGAGAGAAAAACTTTACACGGGTTTTGCACTTCAGACAATGAAAAAACGCTTTATTTCCTGTGCTCGGCCCTTGAGGGGAAAGCTGACCCTTCCAGAAATGTCAGAACCGGGAGTTTCTGCGCTCGGTAAAAAGCGAAGGTGAAACTTCAGGGGCAGATTGATTGAGGAATTCTCCCGGGGTTTTTCCCAACCTGCGTAATAAATGGAGCCGCGCTCGGAGCACCTGCACGGCCCCGGCAGATGGGGCTGCTCGGTGCACTGAGCACAATCTGGAGAGATTTGTCTTGGTGCTCCACACAGAGCCCGCGCTCAGGAGTCAAACCCACGCTCCCAAGGTCAGGCTGCTCGCGCCCGAGGCCTTTCCCAAAGGTGGGAATGTCTCTTCCCGTTATTGAGCTGGACTTCAGTGAAGCTTTTGAGACCGTCTCCCACAGCACACTCCTGAAAAAGCTGCAACCCACGGCTTGGGCAGGGGCACTCTCTGCTGGGTTAGGAATTGACTGAGGGCTGGGCCCAGAGAGTGGTGGGGAACGGAGCTGCATCCAGTTGGTGGCCGGTCACCAGTGGTGTCCCCAGGGATCAGTGCTGGGCCCAGTCCTGTTAAATGTCTTTATTGATGATTTAGATGAGGGGATGGAGTCCCACCATCAGCAAATTTGTGGATGACACTAAGCTGAGGGGGAGTGTGGATCTACTGGAAGGCAGGAGGGCTCTGCAGAGGGACCTGGACAAGCTGGATCCATGGGATGATCCCAATGGGATGAGGTTCCACAAGGCCAAGGGCTGGGTCCTGCCCTTTGGCCACAACAACCCCCGGCAGTTCCAGGCTGGTACAGAGGGGCTGGAGAGCAGCCAGGCAGGAAGGGAGCTGGGAGTTGGAATGACCAGGAAGCTGAATGGGAGCCAGAGCGTGCCCAGGGGGCCAAGAGGGCCGATGGATCCTGGCCTGGATCGGGATCAGGGTGGCAGCAGGAGCAGGGAAGGGATTGTGCCCCTGTCAGGCTACCCCTGGAGTGCTGTGTCCAGCTCTGGGCCCTCAGGAAGGACATGGAGGGGCTGGAGCAGGTGCAGAGAAGAGCAACGAGTCTGGGAAGGGACTGGAGCACAATTCCCATGAGGAGAGGCTGAGGGAGCTGTGGGGGCTCAGCCTGGAGAGGAGGAGGCTCAGGGGAGACCTCATCCCTCTGCACAACTCCCTGGCAGGAGGGGGGAGCCGGATGGGATCGGGCTCTGCTCCCAGGAACCAGCAGTAGGACAAGAGGGCTCGGCCTCCAGCTGTGCCAGGGGAGGTTTATGTTGGGTATTTGGAAGAAATTCTTTACAGAGAGGGGAATCAGCCCTTGGAATGGGCTGCCCAGGGAGGGGGTGGAGTCACTTCCCTGGAGGTTTTTTAGGATGAGGTTGGATGTGGCATCAGTTCCATGGGCTGGGAACCACGGTGGGGTTGGATCAAGGGTGGGACTTGATGATCTCAGAGGTCCTTTCCAACCTGACTGATTCCATGATTCTATGATTCTATGAGTTGTGTTGTTGCAGCACTGGGGACGTCACAGGGCAGGTTCTCCTCGAGTTCTGGGTGAACTTGGAGACAGCAAGTATATCCAGCAGGAGGAAACCTGTAGATCCTGGCAGTCCAGGAGGAAAAATAGTCCTTGGAATGGATGGGATGGGATGGGGTGGGATGGGATGGGATGGAGTGGGATGGGGGGCACTTCCCTCCTTTTCTGGCATCTGGAGTTTCCTGTCCTGTTTGACGTGGTAATATTTCCTTGCTGAAGCGAAAGGTTGTGAGGATTCATCTGGAAAAAAATCCCTTTGGTGTGTGGATTTGAGGGTTTTGAGGCTCTTGGAAGGGAGGAGATCCGACAACTCGTAGGGTCAGTTTACAAGGTCCTTTAGAGAGCAGGGAAACAAATCCCAGTTTTCTTATTTGACATTCCAGGTGTCAAATGAGACATCACAGAACAACCTCAAACTACTCCTCAGCAGAGAACTGACCCTCTCGTGGCAGAACTCGTGGGGTTTGTGTCACTTTTAGTGACTTCCATAATCATATTTATCTATGCAATATATACATATAAATAATTAATAAATCAAATCTGACTCCTTGAGTGTACCAGGAGCTGAAAGGATTTTATTCCGGAGCTGTTGAGAGTTAGGAAAGTTAAAATTCCCTGGAATGTTGTCTTTCCTCCCCTTGATCACAGAATGCTTTTCGGGAGCTCCCAGGAGAGATGGAAATTTGGATCACTTGCTTTAGGAACTTCTTCCCCCTTGGTCACATCCACAGGAGGTTTTGCCATGAGTGCAGACGTGAGGAGGGGGTGATTTGGGATCGTTTAGGTTTTAAAAGACCTTTCAGATCATCAAGTCCAACCATCCCCCAGCACTGCCAAGCACTGCCCCACATCCACAGGGACTTTAAATCCCTCCACCACTGGACAACCCTTTCCATGAAGGAATTGTTCCCAATATCCAACCTGAACCTCCCCTGGTGCAACCTGGGGCCGTGTCCTGTTGTCCCACTGCGCTCCCTGAAGGAACATTTGGATGGGCAGCAAGTGTTGCTCTTTCTCCCTCAGGGTAACACCTGATGGACCTCAAAAACAGGGATAAATCCGGCCCAACATCAACTCCCCATCTTCCTGAACAGTCTGTGTGGCGTTCTGGTAACTCAGACAAGTGTCAACTCAACGTCATGGAAAGTTACAGTCGTTAAATGACTTTAAAACGACCATTCCCAGCTCCCCGCCTTTCCCAGCTGCTGCTCCGCGACGTGTGCGTTCCCAGGCTGCTCCAAAGGCAGGGAAAAGGCACATTTCAGTGTGTCTTTCTCGGTCACTGGGCCATTGTCTGCGCCAGTGAATGCAGATCCTATCGTCAGGGTTTAATTAGCCCGGCATTTACAAGGAAAATGCAAATTGAGAGCTAAAATGGAGCCACATTTTGGAGCCACGAGCTCCCGTTAATGCATATAATTAAAGCACTAAGTGATTGTTCCTTCCCTGTGGAGTTGGGGAGTGTCACTCAAGGCAGGAGCTTTCAAGGGCTCCCAGTATTCCTGGTTATAAATAATCCAGCTGATGGAGATAAGGAATGCCGGAATATGGAGAGCGCAGATAATGTTCTTCTTATTCACAGGATGAATTTAATCATCTGCTTTAATGCGGGGGACCGTGGTGGAGGAACCCATTCAGGAATCAGGCTGAGTGGCACCTGCTTTGGGGTGGGCAGTCACTAAAAAAGAGATTTCCACCTTTATTCTGAGCAAACCCTGAGGTTTCGGTGAAGTCCTTCCAAAAACTGCTGCATTTTTAAGTTTTTAAGACTGGATGTGAAAACGGGACTGAACCGCTCATGGTGACCCCAAATTGTTTGACCTTTCCATGGCAGCTCTGCCAGGGGG